ATATATTGAGTGAATATATTATTTATGGCCTTACAAACAATGGAGCTAAACAAATTTTGTAAATCTTTTCATTGTAGCAATAAAACATATTTAGAAAAACATATATAATTTGTCCGGATTTTGGCGCCGCACCCTGTATAGCGCTTACTCGCTGTGCCACGCGATTCTTGCGATCTGTATATCTTATTATGTTATATAACGAGCTCTGAAATTTTAAAACTCGATTTTCTTTGCAATGCCTGAGAAGTGCGTCTTACTACTTTACCCTGTTGAAGTTCTAGTCATGGCCTACACGTGTAGCAAAAATGAATCAAATCGGCAGGGGCCACTTTGTAGCCTCCCCTTGTCAGTCTGATTGTAAAATTTTTCAAACCAGAATACTATCGTTTAAAGGTGTATTTATAGAATCTAGATTGACCGAATTATGTAATTTTATTAGTAATTTTTTGACAGATACCGTATGTTTACTACCTACTTGTCACATGTGTGACGTTCTTCTTGCGGCAATGCTAAATCGAATTACTTCTGAAGCAATAGTATTAATTGCAGAAGATAACACAAAGTGTAATTGCTTTGTAAAACGAAAAATTGTAAAAACACTGTTTAGTCATGAAGATGATACTTCAAGAACAGCTGGACTTGCAAAAAAAATTATTATTAAAATTGTAGCAAAAGTTATGATAAGACGTAACATCGATGCTAACAAAGGCCTTGTAAACGGTACAATAGGTAAAGTGATTTTTGTTGTTAAAGATGTATGAAATAATAATATAAAAAAAATAAATCTTTTTTTGCCGTCAGGTGAAAAATTTTTAATTGAAAAAGTATGTGTCAAATTTCCCGTCATGANAAGAATATATGTCATTAGAAAACAATTTCCATTGTGTCTGAGTTATGGAATCACTATTCACAAAAGCCAAGAATTGAGTTTGCAGAATGCTCATATGGATGTAGGTAATTCTGTGTTTAGTCCTGGTCAAATTTATGTTGCATTGTCTCGAGTAACATCTTTAGAAGGACTGTGTTTAATTAAATATGATGCTTCATCTGTAAAACCTAGTAAAAAAGCTATTATTAAATATAATAGGTTAAAAAAATACACAAACCTGAAGCAGAAATAATTTGCATTTCAAAACAAAAGATTCGTAAGGTTAAAGATAATAATCGATGGACTTCATCAAAAGGAATTAGTTCTGTGCAAGAATCACAAGAACCACATCAAAATGTTCAAAAAACTACGGGTTGGATCTTCTTAGTTTCCAACACACAGATAAAGTTTCATCCTATGAAAATGCAGTATTGCAATGTCTTTTGCACTTAAGTATCATTAGGAAATAAATATTTAATTATGATAAAGAAAAAATTTTATAAAGTAGTAAAAATAAATCAAAACGCTCGTATTGTGCAAACAAAAATTAAATTAGAATGTCAAATTCGAGCACATTGAAAGGATGTTTTAATTAATCCATTGCATTACAATATAAAACGCTTTAAAAATAAAAACGCTTAAATAACATTTCATTTACGTAATATTTCAACCTTTACTTGGGTCTTCTTCAGACTCTCTATGGTGGGGACAACATTATACAGGGTCCGCCACTTAAATCCGGACAAAAATTTTTTTCTCGAAAAAGTTGTTTATTACAGAAAATATGAAAAAAACATAAATAGACTGCTTTATAGCTGGGTTAAGGGATCTTTTCTGAGACATTTTACTCAATGT